AGACAGGCCAGGAACTCCCTGCCAGATGGCAGTTCTCAAGAAAAAAAAAAAAAACCCAACCCTAAAGGGAGAGAGACAAGAGGCGCTTGTTCCCCTCCGGCCTGGCTTATGTCAGGCTGCTGGCTCAAGCGCTATGGCTCGCTAGCATAAGCCACAAAGACGAGGTGGGCATGGCAGAGGGTGGGGGACGGGGGGGATGCTCCCACGGGTCCCCCACCCCCCTTCCCTTTCTCTGCCAGATGTGGAAAGGCCGCTCCGACCCTGTGCTCCACATCGACCTGCGCAGGTGGGCAGACCTCATGCTGGTGGCGCCCCTGGATGCCAACACGCTGGGCAAGGTGGCCGGTGGCCTCTGTGACAACCTGCTGGTGAGCCACGCTGGGGCCCTCCCCCTCCCCCGGGCTCCCACGGGCTCCCACGGGGACAGCTGACCCCCACCCCCACCCCACCAGCACACCTGTCCTTGTGTTACCTGTGCCAGCAAGGGGCAGGAGTAGAACCCGGGTCCCATGCCCGCCTTGGTGCCCACCCTATGCCCCTGCCTGCCTTCCTCCCTAGTCCTTTCAGCCACTCTGTTTCCCTCCTGCCCTTCCCTTCGGCTTGCCCTTTACCTACCAGGGTGGATCTCACACACACATCTGTCTCTAGTAGCTTTAGCCCCAGGGCCCAGCCTCAGGGTCTCTATGTTAGGAAGGAATGAGGGTTGGCTGCTGGCCCCTGGGTGGCAGAAGAGCCCAGTTGCACTAACTAGGGATTTGGTGTAGGCCTGAGAGGCTGCCTTAAAGAGGTTCCTTTTTGGAGGCTGGGAATGTGGTAGAGGGCTCGCCTAGCATGCATGAAGACTCTGGGTTCGATTCCTCAGTACCACAGACACAGAAAAAGCTGCAAGTGGCACTGTGGCTCCAGTGGTCCAGTGCCAGCCTTGAGCAAAAGAAGCTCAGTGCCCAGGCCCTGAGTTCCAGCCCCAGGCCTGGAAAAAAATAAAGAAAAAAAGGTCCTTTTAAAAAAAATTTATAATTTGGGGCTGGGAAGGTAGCTCAGTGGTAGAGTGCTTGCCTTGCATGCATGAGGCCCTGGGTTCGATTCCTCAGCACCACATAAGCAGAAAAACCTGGAAGTGGCGCTGTGGCTCAAGTGGTAGAGCGCTAGCCTTGAGCTGAAGAGCTGAGGGACAGCGCCCAGACCCAGAGTTCAGGCCCCATGACCAGCAAAAAACAAAAACAAAACAAAACAAAAATTTATAATTTGCTGTTAGTACTAGGGCTTGAACTCCTTTCTTAGCTTTTTCTACTCAAGGGTGGTACTCTACCCCTTGAGCCACACCTCTTACTTCTTTTTGCTGGTTCATTGGAGATAAGCATCTGAGAAGACTTCCCTGCCTGGTCTGGTTTTGTTGAATAGTGATCCTCAGAACTCAGCCTCCGGAGCCACCTCGCCAAGCCTGGAGGGGTGGCTAGAAGCTGGGCCTGCTTCCTCCCATCAGGCTGGCTCTCTTTCCTCCGTGTTAGGGATTGTCCTGGTCTCCTGACTTGTGGGCTCTTGCTTGGGCCTCTGCCCCTGGCCCGCCCAGGCCCTGGCCCCTTGTGTTTGTGCTACACAAGCAATCAAATCCAGAAGAAAAGGCCAATTCCTGGGGTGGCTGGCCTGACTTAAGGCCCTGACTCCCTCCAGACTGAGATTGGCTACCTGCACCACAGGGCGGAACCCCCCCCCCCGCCAGGTGTCGGACACAGTGGCCCCACAGTACCTGTGGGTTGAGGGAAGCGATTTCCTCCCCCCCACCCCGCTGCCAGCCAGTCTTCAGTCTGTGCAGGAAGTGGGGAGCTCTTGAGACAGAGAAGTGGGGGTGGGGGAGGGGAGTATGTGGGGAGGCAGACACCCCAGGAGGCAGAGATCTAGGGCTCTGCTGTGGGCCATTGGCTGTGTTTTGAGAATCCCCAACCCATGCCGGGTGCCAGTGGTGCACACCTGTCATCCTAGCTACTCAGGAGGCTGAGATCTGAGGATCACAGTTCAAAGCTAGCCCGGGCAGGAAAGTCCATGAGGCTCTTATCTCCAATAAACCACCAAAAAGTTGGAAGTGGAATGCAAAACAGTTCAGGAACAGTGCTTAGCCCTGAGTTTAAGCCCCAAGACCAGCACACACACACACACACACACACACACACACTCTCTCTCTCTCTCTCTTTCTCTCTCTCTCACACACACACACACACTCTCTCTCTCTCTCTCTCTCTCTTTCTCTCTCTCTCTCTCTCCCCGGGCTCTTCTAAATATGTTCCTGGCTTCTGCAAAAGGGGCAGGTGGCCCCGAGCCAAGAGGAAGTGTGACTAAAACCGTCCCGCTCATAGCCCGGTTGCTACATTGAGAGGCCTTGGTGGGAAACCAGCCCTGGTGTCTGGGATGATGCAGGCAGCCAGGTCCCCGGGGCTGTGCGCCGTGCACACGCAGGCGGGGCGCCGAGGGACGGACGCGGCCCAGGCCTGAACATGGCATGGTTGTTCACCTTGCCCTTTCCTTTTCCCAGCTGGTCTCCATTCTGAGGAAGTGGGGGTTCCAGCTCTCTTCTTTCCAGGGGCTCCTGCCTGGAAGGACGTGCCAGATGCCATTAGACCACAAGGGAGCTAATTCCTTCCTTCCTTCCTTCCTTCCTTCCTTCCTTCCTTCCTTCCTTCCTTCCTTCCTCCCTCCCTCCCTCCCTCCCTCCCTCCCTCTCTGCTTCCCTGAAGCTGTGGCCCTGGCATTAAAAAATTCAGAGGAGTTGGAGGCGTGGCTCAGGTGGTAGAGCACCAGGCAGTGAGTGAACGCATCAGATGTTGAGTGTGAGCCCCGGGCTTCGTGGGTCTGTCCCGTGGAGAACAGCGCCGGGGTGGGCTCTGAGCCCGCAGGACCGGCTGGGCACTTGCGCTGCTGGTGCCATCCGTGAGGACAGGGACACCAGCTGCCTTATAGGCTGCCCCTGAGGGTGGGAGAGAATGCATTTGTCCTGTATCTGACCTTTGTGCCACTCCTGGGGCTTGATTAAACTCAGGGTCTGGACGTTGTCTCTTGAGTTTTTGCACTCAAGGCTGGCGCTCTACATACTTGAGCCACCAGCTCCACTTCCAGCTTTTGGCTGGCTCCTTGGAGATAAAGAGTCTCACGGACTCTTCCGTGCACGGGCTGCCTTTGAACCGTGATCCTCCGATCTCAGCCTCCTGAGTAGCTAGGATGACAGGCCTGAGCCTCGCTGTTCACGTTGAGCATTTGTGTTCTAACTCGCCTGCCAACTGCACAGCCTGCCAGATGCTCCTCAGCCAGGCTGCTCCTACCCGGAAATGTCAGGTGGAGAAGGCTCAGGCTGTGCGGGAGGATGGATGGCCAGGTGGTGGGGGGACTTGGAGGGCCGGGGAGGCGTTGCAGGCAGGCCAACAGTGCCCGTCAGCACCCACTGCCCCCCCTTCTTTGCAGACCTGTGTCATCCGTGCCTGGGACCGCAGCAAGCCGCTCCTCTTCTGCCCCGCCATGAACACGGCCATGTGGGAACACCCCATCACCGCCCAGCAGGTGGGCCAGCTCAAGGCCTTTGGCTACCAGGAGATTCCCTGTATAGCCAAGAAGCTGGTGTGTGGAGATCAAGGTGGGCATCGCCAGGCTCCTGGTGCCAGGCCTGGAAAGGGCTGTGCTTTGTGGTCGCCTCTGACATTTATTTTGTTTTAGTGCCAGTACTGGGATTTGAACTCAGGGCCTCATGTGCTCCATTAGTTTTTGTTTTGTTTTGTTTTGTTTTTTTTTGCCAGACCTGGGACTTGAACTCTGGGCTTGGGCGCTGTCCCTGAGCTCCTTTCACTCAAGGCTAGTGTTCTACCACTTGAGCCCACAGCACCACTTCCAGCTTTTTCTGTGATTAATTGGAGATAAGAGGCTCACAGACTTTCTTGCCCTGGCTGGCTTTGGACCCTGAGCCTCAGATCTCAGCCTCCTGAGTAGCTAGGATTACAGGTGTGAGTCACCAGTGCTCAGCCTGTGTGTGTGTGTGTGTGTGTGTGTGTGTGTGTGAATGTGAATTCTAGGGCTTGAACTCAGGGCATAGGTGCTATCCCTGTACTTTTGTGCTCAAGCCTAGCACTCTACCACTTTGGGCCACAGCTCTACTTCTGATTTTCTGGTGGATCATTGAAGATAAGAATTTCATGTACTTTCCTGCCCAACCTGGCTTTGAACCACAATCCTTAGATTTCAGCCTCCTAGGGGCTGGGAAGGTGGCTCAGTGGTAGAGCGCTTGCCTTGCATGCCTGAGGCCCTGGGTTCGATTCCTCAGCACCATATAAGCAAAAAAGAAAAAAAGAAAAAAAGCTGGAAGTGGTGCTGTGGCTCAAGTGGTAGAGCG